ATAGGTACCGTTGTAGGTGCCTTATTTTGGGACTATTATAGGGATGCACTCCCCCACCCTCCCTCAAGCACCAGTAATTAAACCCCTGAACCCCTAAACCCTAAATCCCTAAATCCCTAAACCCCAACCCCTAAACCCTAAACCCTAAACCCCAAACCCTAAACCCTAAACCCCAAACCCTAAATCCCTAAACCCTAAACCCTAAACCCCCAACCCCCAAAACTCAACCTAAATGTTGGTCCTGTTCGGGGACCTGGCTCAGCAAGGCCTTGGACTTCCCGAGACCCCGAATTGCTAACCTGAGTTGCTCCTTTCAGGATTTAGGGGGGGGGTTTAGGGTTTAGGGGGTTTAGGATTTAGGGTTTAAGGGGTTTAGGATTTAGGGTTTAAGGGTTTAAGGGGTTTAGGATTTAGGGTTTAGGGGGTTTAGGATTTAGGGTTAAGCGTTTGGGGTTTAGGGTTTAGGGTTTGCTGTGATGTTGCCGACAATACCTCTTCATTTTGATGCTAGGCAGTCTTTAAACATGTCTAGAGCCAAGAGCTGGGAGGGATGTCTGCCATGAGATTTGAGAGGCCTTGGAAGGTTGGGGAGGCCCTGGAATTCTGGGAAGAATGCAAGGAAGCCCTGGAAGGAGGGCCTGGAAGGGAGCTTGGAGGCCGGAGGCCCCTGGCAGTTAGGTCAATCTTGGCCAACAACACCTTTTCATTTTGATGTTAGGCTGTCTTTAAACCTTTCTATAGTCCCTTTCTATAGTCAAGAGCTGGGAGCCCTAAACCCTAAACCCTTAACCGGATGTTTGCTGTGAGATTTGAGGGCACACCCTCGCAGGCCTTGGTGCCTGTGCTGAGGCAGGTCCAGCTAGTCGGTCTGCCCAAGGGTTTCAGGGGGCATAGGTGCCGCCCACCATCCTAGGTGGGCGGCCTATGTCTTGAGTTTAGGATTTAGGAACTAGAAGGGTTTAGACTAGGTTTAGTGTTCAGGATGTTCAGGGATTAGATTAGGGTTTAGGGATTAGGGTTTAGGGAATAGGTTTTTGGGTTTGGAGGTTTGATTAGGGAATAGGGTTTAGGTTAGGGTTCAGGGTTTAGGGATTAGATTAAGTTTTAAGGTTTAGGTTAGGGTTTAGGCTTTCCCAAAATTAGAGTTCTGGAGAACCCGTATTTTGAATTTCTCAACATGGGGCGGATTTCTAGGGACCTTAAGGATACATGGGAAGGGAATCGTGGGATCTTAGTCGGGGCTGTGTAAGGGTTATCTTGAGAAATACCTCAATTATGGTTAAGTTTGGGATCAGGTTTATTTAGAGTGGGCTGCTGTTCAGGAAATTCAGTTCAATTATGATACGGATGCGCTTTTACTTTCTGTATATCCATATTATAGTAACTTTGTTACTTAACCATGTCATGGTAACTTGAATTTCTTAACAGCAACCCAGCAACAGCACTAAGACTGCGTGCGCATGCCTCTCGGTAGGCTCTGCCCACGACACAATCTCCTGGAGCTGTTCCCACTGCAAATGAAGCAGCTTGCCGCTTGACTGCGCATTCGTGTAGATGTCATATCTATTTGCCAAAAGCGCCAGCATGCTAATGCAAGCTGATTCTGCACGGGCTCTATCAAGGCCCTCCTCAAAAACGCTATACGTCCCGTAGAAGGGATGAAGTTCTGGCAGAAGTTGCTGCAGCTGCTGTGACAACGCGGTCATGCTTGAGATAGAACCACTTGCCAGGTCTTCCATGAGGCTCTTGACGACCTCGAGGTCGGAGGATTCTGACTTGCCGCGGCTTACTTCTGCGTCTTCAGGCATTTTGTGCCCGAATGAGTGGTTCAAGTCAAGCTCTACTGGCAGCCTGGCCTTCAAAATGTCAATGTTGCTGAACTGCTTTCTCTGATCAGGATGCAGCTCCTGATAATACTGGTTCTGCTGGCAACAAGCATGCGCATACCGAATCTGGTCATCATGCTCGTCGCTAATTCCGCGCTGCTTCCCCACGAAGTCTCGCGCGTACTCACAAAACATGGCAGAACAGGCCGGAGACTCCCGCACGGCCGAGACCAAAGTTACTCCGGTCAGCGTAAACATCTCCGCTATGTTCTTGGCCCTCAAGGTAGAAACATGAATTGCAGAGTCTGCATATAAAGCGAGCTCGGCAAACCAGTGTACCTCATCGCCCTTCAGAACCCTGTCCTCCTTCTCTGCCCGGGATACATCAGACAATACATAAACACCAGCTGTAGTCATATGTAGGGAGCCCGCCCAAGCACCTGCAGCAAAAACCAGTTCCCCTTTCTCGTAGACGTGCTTCTGCAACGCAGTGCAGATGTGCGCAAAAACGTCAGAGAAAGTTTCGAGGGTCAGCGCGAAGATGGGGAGCTTAGAAAGAAACTTCCCTCGCTGGCCGACAAATAGCCTTACTGGTGGTTGGTAGGATAAAATGAGCAGGCAGTTGCATAGGGCTTTAACGCGGGAACATATGGGACGACTACAGGGATCCATGCCCTCCCTACTAACCAGCAGTAAGTCGCTCTGTGTAGAGCGTGGACGAGATGAGCGACTGGTCAAAGTTGAAAGAGGTCATCTTCTCAAGCTTATAGTCGACAAACTTCATCACTCGTCCTACAAGCCTTAGTTATGCAGTATCTGGGGCTTCCCCAAAGTTAAACCTTTTCATTTATCGGGTTTTATATTACCCTAAAAGAGGTTAAAGGTTTCTACGTCTGGACAAATAAGAAGCTCATATCTTGCATTTTGGCTTGTTAGGTACAGCCTCACTTCTCTGCGCTGTCGCGCGCGTGCTTCATTCATGGCTCGCAGGTCGTTGAGAGTTCCAGCAATTGCAGAGATTGCAGAACCAATCACCAATAGAGAAAACACATAGGCGAGAATATCAAACACCCGCTCTGTGGCACTGTTTGGTGCAATAGCAGGTGGAGAGGGCGAGTTGATCACATATCGCAGTGAATGCAGCCACTGCACATAGATGCTGAGACCGGTGGCTTCCTTGGTTGCTGTTAAGGAACTTAATCTGAGCTACTGTATTGGGGGAAACCTTATCATGTACTATATACAGTATAATTATGCTATCATAATGTAAGTTCCCTAAACCCCAAACCCTAAACCTCATTGAATGTGGTAACTTACTTTAAACTCCTTAACAGATACCCAGCTTCGGAAAGATCAATCCAGCTGACATTCTGGGAATCTGAAACCCACCGCCCGATCCAAATCCAGATGCAGGCCTAGGATCCCCAGAAGGATTTAGGGTTTATAGGGTTTG